TATTTTAACCAGTGCGACAGACTCCTACTCATACTCTGTACAGTCACTGTCTGAACCTTAGTAAAGAGGTCCAGGGTGGACAGGAAAATCTGACTCTAAATCATCGCATGTGTCAGTTATTGACGAACAATAATCTTGTTGCATCACCATTCTTATCTTCACCAATAGCTGGTAACATCACTCCATCTTTATCATCTTCTGTAATTAACAAAATTGAAATTGCATAACTTACACAAGGTATCATACTGATCTGTTGTTGTTTCGCTCAAATAACTTTTTAAGATGATCGCAAAAGTTAACTACAGCAAAAAACTGGCCGGTAAGAACCTGCATTTCCCCAAGTTAACCTAAGTGAGTTCTTAAATAAATGGTTATTAGCAAAACTTAGCTATTTAGGTTCTTAAATAGGTTCTTTTTTTTCTTAGAAAAAATACTGTACTGCTCTAGACTTCGTTTTCGTCATTGTCTGCTGTAGCCAAAGGATTAGAAATAGTCCAGATCCACTTTTTTTATAAGGAATTCTGATGTTAAGGCCGAGGCTGAGACCAAATTGGTTGCTCTTATTTAATGTTTGAGCCTCAAACGTTCAAGGGTTTATATACTATATCCTCTACGAGCACTGTGCACAGGAGTCAACCTTTTAAAAATTTTGTTTCGCTAGCTACAATCGACTATGTTCAGTACCGTTGTCAAAGATTCATTACAATGCCTTCAAAACCTAAAGTAAGAGTACAAAATATCACCATGAGAACGCATATATATACTTGCTCTCTAGTCTGCGCTCGGCCAACAGGTATTTCTGCTTACCGCTCAGCGGAGATTCCCTTGGCGTTGTCCACTGGAACTAACATGATTAGTCCCTGCACAGCTCTCTGTATGGTGACTTAGCCCCTGCCTTGGTACTTGTCGTCAGGTTCACCTGGTCTGGGATTCGTGTATTCCACATCCACTTTCCTTACTTTAGCATCATCTCCAGGGTAAACCTTGGACACTACCAAGCTTCCAGTTACCTACCTGATTTGACTCTTGGATGAGCACTACATCGCCTACCCTCACATTGCGCTTCTTTGTATGCTACTTCTGCTGTACAATCACAAACTCTAGTCCACTTTCTCCAAAAATGTGTGCAATGTGCTGAACGAACTTGAAGCGGTGATTTGGGTTTCGTCTCTCTAAAGGGACCACTAGGCACCCTACAGGTGGATCATCCTAAAAGGAGGTCGTTAGGGCACAGGTAAGTTCCATCTTCAGGTGATGTTGGATGTCTACCAATTGACCCTTCATTAACCAGGCTTGCTGCCTCAAAGAAGACAGTTTGCAACTCAGAGAAGGTCACCACTCTCTCACCAACTGCTACCATAATTGCCTTCTTCACAGACTTCATAAGAGTCTCTGAAGAACCCCGCACCTATGAAGAGGGAATGTGCACTAAGATCAAGAATTCGTGGCGCATGATGAAAAATAAATTTTCTCCATATTTCGTCCAAAGATACCCTATGGTGAGCTTAGAAACATGGTGGGTTTTTTTCTAGAAATATTTTTATTAATGCCACAAAAAAAAAAAAAAAAAAACCGTCAATGCCCCAGGTTTTTGGAAAAACACCCAAAATTATCGTGCAGCATACCTTCCACTAACCTTCGCTCTGTTTCATTCGCACAAATCTTAACCCTGTTTGGAGCATGAAAATGAAATGTTTAACACTTAGTAAGGCATTTCAGACCAGTTAAACTAATTTGGATTGATTTTCAAAGTCTCGGCGGGCCGCCGAAAATTAGCGAAATTCGCTTGCCCGGAATTCTTAATTCGGCGCTCTTTTTCACCGTATGATTTCCCTATCCGGTAAAACGCCAATCCCTTTGAAGTTAGTATTTTTTACAATATGAAATGTTGTTGTCTAGCCAGGTATAAAAAATATTTTCGGGCTTTTTATCAGAAGCAAGTAATAACGCTCTAAAATCCGGATATTATCACAGCATAAACTGTGTAAACAAGTGACACATTCCTTCACGTTAATAACAAAAACCTTGGATATTTCTCCTTGGTTTTAGCTTGTTTCACCCATAAACTACAGAAGAAATGACGAAAAACTTTATACTCATCTGACATTCAAAATATCTGGTTCCGAGTATACTTAATCTTTGAATTTAGCCATCTCGACAACTAAAATTAGTATCGCTTGCAAGCAACCAACTCGAATGTTCTATTTCTGTCCCATGATCTAAGATGTTAGCAAGAGCATTTGTGATTGAAGTAAGTCTGCTTTACCGTAAATTTCAAAGCATTTTCCTTGATCTCCTGTTTGAACTCTTATTAACAGGGTTCGCACACCACTGGTCCATCAAAATTCCAGGACTTTTCCAGGACCATATTTACTAAAATCCAGGACCGGTAATAGCCAGGAAAACTGAAACAACCTAAACACACCAATAAACTATGTAGCATTTTTGCTACGTTTCTGCAAGAGTCTGCAGCTTCTGGTCTATTTCGCTGTCGATTTTAGAAGCTTCTTCAAGTTTTCGTTTTGATGACTTTATGACTGTACTACTAACTGACCGGTTTTCGACTGTTTTTCGACCGTTTCCTCAAGAAAAGCAGATGAGCTTGGTGTTTCAGCACTTGCATCACGTACCGAAGGGCTGGAATGTAAGCCACAAGACATCAAAGCACCAGGTTTGTCAGAGCTAGATGAAGATGCTGCCTTTGAAGACATAAACTGGGTAATTGGCACCGACCGCTCAGCTATTAATGCTGCTAATTCTTTGTGCTTACTCCCTCTCCTGTGACTTCTGCAGGGCTGTCAACCCCCCAACGTCTTCAAATATTGAGAATTGATAGCAAAGGGATAATAGATGACATTATAACGAATGGCACATGACGTCATTTGTGCAAAAGATACTGTTGACTCCGATTGCCACGAATTTGCGATAACACAAAACGTGCGAAAAAGATGTTGTTGCACAACATTTGACTTGATCAGTTTACTTCACACCAATCACATTATTGCTTATAGTATAATGGCAAACCGAAGATTACAAGAAAACGCTCGATGTTAACAGTGTAAAAATAGGTCAAACAACGCAAAATATTTGAAATTTTATTGTCGTAAAGTTGACTCTACAAGAAGTGGCAAAATTCGGCGATTATCTGGGGGGATTTCATACTCTAACCTGGAGACTGGGAGATACGGTACAAAATCTGGTGTCTCCCGGATTATCCGAGAGAGTTGACAGCACTGCTTCTGAGGGCGGATTCCTCCATGTTTGAGCAGCCATTGATTTTAGGCACAAGCGACAACGTGCTTTGTGTTGAGAGCTTGAGTCTTGTAATATCCAGTCTTTGTATATCACGTGAGAAGTCCAGTTTTCGTTGAAAGTACACTTCCCAAGCACTGTTCATTCAGCTTAATCACAAGGGCCGGAAACAATACTTTTGAGTACGTTTTGACTTGAATTAAAACAGAACAAAACAACGGGTTATCTCATCCAGATACGAACAACACAATTTTCGAACATGGGAAGCCCATAAAACCACAGGGGTAGCTAGAGCCCAGACTCTGAACTGTTAGGTTTTGGGATTAACTACAGGTACGATTTTGCAATATTGTACACGTTCATTTGTCGCCCCCAAAAAACTTGAAAACTTAGCAAAAGTCTAATTTTCCAGGACTTTCAAGGACCAACACATATTTTCCAGGCCTGGATTTTGAAATTTTAAATTTCCATGACTTTCCAGGTTTTACAGGACCCGTACAAACCCTGTATTAAACATCATTTACCAACGGATATCTTGTGCTGAACGCTTGAGCTAAAGCCTCCTTCAAGGACTGTTTGTTAATAGCTAACGTCACGCAATAAGTCAAGTGGTCATGCATGTTCATGAGTTGGTGATAAGGCCTTGGAGAGGGAGCGCAAATACTCATAAAAAAATGTATGCAGATATGGTGGCAAAAAATAAAGATAAATTTTATTTATAAGATTAGTTTTAAACATTCTAATAAGCGTACGTTGTCTCTATATTATTCACCAGAATTTTTATGTTTAACCAGAAGCTGATTGCTCCTGGCTCAACTTAATCATTAAAAATAATCAGCAATTTATGGAAGGGATAAACATAATTGCTTGTACATATCAGAAATTAAAGGGGAAAAATTGTGCAGTGGCACATAAAAAGAATTCCACATGCCTTTTGTGTTAAACAGATAGAGAAAATAAAACAAAACATATTCTTCAAACCCCTGTGGACTGAGTCATTTCCTTAATCAGTTATAGAGATGACTTCTCTCATCCTTATACAAGGTGAAAGTTTGTTGTGAACCGCCCTTCGATAAGGGGTAGCAAAAGTGCTGGTGACTAGCACATTTAGCCACATAACCAGCCCATCAAAACCCTTAAGGCAACAGTAAGAACCCACCTACCATAAACGAATTTGTGAAAATACGTCTTTCTATGTGCCTTTTCGGCTTGCATTGTACTAATAAGGAACGTGAAATGTAAGTGTGCCATTATTGTTTAGTGATATAAATAAGAATAAAAAAGTTATGGAATGAAGTTACTATACACCAAAGAGTAGACATTAGAGGGTTGCAGAGTTTTTCGGCGTCTCTTATCTGCTAAGGGGCTTTGGCGGAAGATTTTTGAACTTTTTAACTCAAATCTGAGACCTACGATATAAAAGACTTGCTGCCTCTCGTACATGTTGCCTATCTTTTCTCAACACAACTCGTTTCTGTCTCTAACTTGTTTTCAGTTTTCGCTTGTGAATTACAAAATCTTAATACAAGACAGTAGAATGTTCCAAGAACGCCTCACTGTTGACATGCGCATTCCTGACAAAGCGATTGTATTTTGTGGATGTACGGCTTCTTGCGTCGAACCGTTATGCCTGGAGTGTCAATACCAAGGGAAGTGCAAATGTCCTTTAAAACTGTAATGGAAAATTCATTCAGCTTCTTTTGGGACACCATTTCACAAAGATTATAGGCGTCATAGACAATAGGATGTTAAGGCGCAATCTCACCCGCAGCCTCATTAACAATACTTGCTAGACAGGCCTCATGTGCAGCGACCTCTACACTTTCCTGATCGTCATTCTCGAGAGTTTTCTTTGAAGCAAGGCGTGAGAAGAAGCCAGCTATTTGGGTTGCTGTAAGAAACTCATCGCTTGAAAACAATCTATCTCCAGTTGCATCCTTTGCACACATTATTGATCTTGAAACAGCTGCAGGATCTGCCTTACTTCCAGTCTGCTCTCCAAGCTTAAACTTTGTAGTTACATACGACTTTTGGTTTGCCGTGAACCTAGTCCTCCGTGTAGCACGTGGCTTGAGTGCCCAGCCCATGGGTTGGCTCTCTGTGTGACCTGCTCGTGTGCTGACCACTGGCACCACCATGGCTTGCCCCTCGAGTTGTTCTGCATATTGTTGGGCAGCTTTGTCAAAGAATGTCTTGTTCTCTAAAGCGCGCTTATGTGTTTCACAATCCAAGTCCTGCATCATGGAGGTGTGCCTTAGGAATGTCTGTGTACAACCTTCCTCAAGAGACGTGAACAGTGCATCACGCGATGCTGAGTGCTCTTCTTCAGTTTCGGTCTTATTGTCAGTGCTGCGGATACCACTCGGATGCACTCCATGTGCTTGTCTTTTTACACCCAATGAGAATGAGCTTGGGTGCGCCTGGCGTACTACCAAGGATGGTAGCCTGGTTGATAATGGAGCCTCAGGTATCTGCGATATCAGCTTTCCGGTTCGTACGCCATACGCTCTCCATACACGGATTCCCTCTTCAGAAAACTCTATATTCAAGAGTAGGCTTACTCCATCGATCTTGTATGAGTCCATTGAAGGGCTTGTGATGGAGTCACAAAGGGTGACACTCAGTGATGGTACCCCACCGGAAGATCAAATTGCATCCGTCATCTGTTCTGGGGTGTCGATATCATGTCCTGAATTTAGGTAAATATGCATATGCAATTTTATGGATGCTGCCTTGTGGTCACAGGCTCCTTTTCCACCCTGGGGATCAGAGAAATCAAGCTGTTTGATGGTTACACCCAGCTCTGCTCCTAACGTGCTTGCACAAACAATGGTGGTCCCGCAGTGATAGCAACCAGCATTGTCTTGGTAGAAGCTGACGTTCTTCAGGCCTGGTATGATGGTCTTGAGCTGCTTAATGATGTCTACCATTACTATGAGATCTGCGCAGCTCTCCTGACTACAGGTCTGGAAGATATGAGCAAAGGTCAGCATTTGAAACTGGTCGCTAATCTTTCTGAATGCTACACCGATATGCCAAGGAATACCGCATTTACGGTACCAATCAGTTTGACTTTCACGGAATTTCCTTGGCAGATACTTCATGGCCCAGTCCTGGACAACTAACACAAATGACTCATCAAGCAATTCTAGGATGTCAATTCTGGAAGAATCTTGGTTGATAAAGCGGAGTATATGAGCCTTCCATGCAAGGATGTTTGTCTTCGCCTTCATGATGCTGAATGATAGCTCCTCGTAGACTCCAGGTAGCATGTTGCCTTTCTGGGCGATAAGCGCTGCATCTTCCTCGCTGAGAGTTGATACCATTTGATCACAACGATTGCAGGAGTCCTTGTGTTCATGGTCGCACTGAACCTGGAAGGCAGGCTCCTTTAGGTCGCTCAGAGCAAATAATCTACGATGATCAGCCACGGTAGAGCTTTGAGACACATGCACCTATACCAAAAATATAATATCACAGAAATGACTGTTATACTTACAATGACTTAGGGAGAGCTACCGAGCCTTAAAGAGTCATTTTTTCAGCTTGTTTCTATCAAACGAGCCTATATGGTCTAACCCTCGGAGGAACAGGAGAGGGAGGGGTGGGAGGTAGTTGATGGTTTTTCTCTCAAGGTCTTTTGTTCTAATATAATGCAAATCAAATTTATAATCTATAATTATAACGCACTGAGAGCACACTACAAGATATTAAATTTCTGTCAGTTGTCGTTATAAAATCTAACATTTTGCACTGGATTTTACTATGTTCACTGGAAGCGGAAAAAGATACAAACAGACTGATACAAAACTGACAAAAAACAATCACATTCTGTAATTCTGCGTAAGAAACCTTACCCTTACCCGCTAGTGCCATCTGCCTTGGTCGCCGACACATTTCCGCCAAAAGCCGACGCAATAAGCAGTCCTTGAAAAGCTTCTGGCGCCCATTGCAAAGAAAACTAATATAAAATGAAAATTTAGGCCAAAAATGTGAAGGGATGGTGTTTTAGCTACCTTGTAATTACTTTTGAGGTATTGCTTTCCGTCTTGCAGGCGAGTCTGCAGGTTCTTGGTCCATCTCATGCCTTGTCCAACGTCCCCAAGTCTTTCTACAATGTCAATCAGGTCTTCAAATGCCTGCGAACCTGCTGAGCTTACGTGTCTTTAGTCTAGGCCTGAAGTGATTTTCGAGTAGAGGCAGGACAGACAGCTAGGATACGCACAAGAGTACTGCGGCTAAGAGGCTTAAAACCAGACTCGTCGCAGTAGGCCAGGTACTGTTTTACCACCCTTTCAGGGATCATCATTCTGATAACGTTTGGGATCTTAATGGTCTTTTTGTTGCTAAGTGTTATGGACCTTTCTCCGAATGGCAGATCTTGTACAGTTTGCGAGCTTGTTATAAATGCGATGAAATGTTCTTGTTCTAAACAACAACTAACTTCCATTCACAGCAACAAAAACTGTATGAACTCTGAACAGGAAATGTTTCGTACTCAGCTCGTTCAACTGGCGATTATTAGATTACAGCTCTGCAAATATTGTCTGTTTTTGTAAAACGTTTTGTCTGTTTGTTTGTTTTTATACGAGAGTCAGACTTATTATTGGAGGGAAAGAATAAGCTTTGATATTTCATGTATCACGAGAAAGAAAAAGGGGTCGTTTTGTTTGGCCTCTTTTTGCTGTAGTTTTAAATAAACAAAATGAAACGAGAAGTGAATGTTATCTATGACTTTGCGCCGTTTGTTTTGAGGCGTCTCCCCAGGTACAATTAACATAAGTACTCCCTTTTTGTATAAAAAAAGCCTCATATATGTGCCCCCCACCTTTAAACCGGGGCATTAAAATACTTTTTTTCAGACTTCGTAGTCTTTCGGTGGATGTTTTGTTTTGGTTTGCTTTGTTTTTAAGCTTCCTTGGTAATCGCATGACAAAACCTTTTAAGGCGAACTTTGGGAAATCCTTTGCGGGACGGACAGATTTGGTCAAAATTCGACAAGAGTTCATTTGCTGACATGACTTTGTAGACTATGGAAGATGTTCCATAGATATTTTTCTTTTTCTCACCTGAGAAATAAATTACTGCAGCCAAGAGCTTCCACTTTAGTTTCTATTTAGCAATCGTGTGAATTTGATTAGCTTAGTCAACAAGAGATGAGATCGGGTAGGTGTAAATTTAGACTCCACGTTTAAAGATAGCACTAGCACTGTTTCATTCAGAGCCTGGTGTTCTGATATTCCTTATTCAAACTAAGCTGAAAGACCTATATCTGCTTTGTTTTTCATCGAAAAAACGAGAGAAACAGTACAAAATCTGCAAGTTTCGGAAATTTGTTCAGCGCGTTTGTTTACAGTTTCCAGATGTTGACATGTTATAAGCTTGTGATTTTCAAGATTTTTAGAGTGCTGGCACACGGCGCTGATAGAAAGCCCGAAGGAAAAAATAACATCACATTTTAGTACCTCATTTTCTCTCTTGAGAATTCTTAGTTTCAAGTGATTCGGTGCCTTACCGGGCAATGAAACTTTCTTTTGAAAAAGTGAATCAAATTTAAAATTTTAGGCAAGCGAATTTCGGTGAATTTCAGATGATCACCACAACCTTACAAATAAATCCACAGGTTTAAATCTGTACTCAAATAACTTCCAAACATTCAAAATATCTGTATTGACCTTTTCTGAGAGTCTCCCTTTGACGCGAATTTAACAGGACCAAGTTTACTAGAAGGTGTTAAACACGTTTTTTTTTCGCGTATTTTCACGACACGAGCAGAAACAGTCTTTTATTAATTTTTCGCATTCAAAAAAACATTTCTTTCATCCCTATTGTACATTCAACCGCAATAGCTACCAGCGTCTCATAGGTCTTACGCAATTTCAATCTCTTCTATGGAATGAATTTACAGAAATAAGCAATGAGTCCACCTCCCCCTTTGGTTCTGTCTCTGTGATACATATTGTCTCCTTGTAGTCTAAACTGGTCGTCAGGGTAAGAACAGTCGATTTTGGTTTTGATTAGTATCCATGCCTTCAAAGAGTCATTAAGGCATTTTAGTGCCTCAAATTTATTTCATATGCTGTTGATATTCAAGTGTGCGACAAAGGCGTTGTGTAAATTGTTTTCACGTTCTTCCAAAATGGAGCTCTTTTGGGGGTTCAGAGGGACACCATTACCATATAACTCATTTGCAATGTCGTTACCTTCCATTGACGATCTGACAGTGAGTTCATTTGCATGTGTAAGTCTTCAAACAAAAGGTTTCCATGTGCAAATGGAAGGTTACACCATGAACATGTCCAATCCATGTCAGGAAAAGCTAGGTACAGTCAACTCACGTTATAGCGGACACCCTCGGGACCGCGATTTGGTGTCCGTAATAGTGAGAGTCCGTAATAGCGGGGTGCGAGAAAATTTTTATTTTAAACCATATTTACAGAAGGGGGTCACATGTGTGTTTATTTTCATTAACTCCAGTACCTTTTTCAGACCCGTTGTCGCAAGTAAAGAGCGTCAGAACTTTATTTACAAACAGAACAGAACTTAACAGAACGGGAGTTACGTACCCTTTGTGTACAGTAGTTCTTCTAAGTACGTAAAAAACAATCATCGTATGTTGCAGCAATGTCCACACATGCATCGTTTTGGTTTCCTACTGTACTGAAGTACAGTAATCTTCATTTCTAAAAAAAATTATTTTCAAGGAAAAACCTGAACATCAGCTATTGATTCCATCAGCTATCACATTGCCTTAAAATATCGTTCCAATCGGCTCTGTGTACTTCTCCTTTGAACTGCAACTTCCCCCACTTTGTCGCCAAGGAGACTAAATTCATTAGCAACCTTAAACTCCCCTCTATGAATCAAAAAAGCAGGAATGTTTTGGACACTGTCCAAAACGTCCTTGAAACTTTTCAAAGTGGTTGTTTCGTTCGAGCGTTCGCCTTCACCTGGAGTATCTTCTTTTTCCATTTCATTCTCGTCGTCACTCTCTATTTCCATGACATCGTGAGAAGTACCAATGGCCTCCAGCAGCTGTTGTTCGTTAAGAAGACTGTAACAGGTTGGAAGTTCGTTATCGGACTCCAGGTAAGTACTGATTCCACTTCCAGGTGCAACCTATTGGACAAGATTCTCCAGTTCCTCATCGGCCGAGACATCAAGATCAGCAAAGGGATCCTCCTCTCCGGTCACAGCACTGACGGTAGCTGCTTCTGAGAAAGTGCTGGAAATTCCAGCTGCTGCAAAACATGTGATAATGGTATCGTTCTCGACCTTAGACCAAGCAGTCCCCATCCACCTTGTGGCCTGCAGCACGTCCAATGTTTTGGCAATGTCTGTTGCACTGTCGTGGTCTGTGGTCATTGTAATAATATGACGAAGTAGCAACTTTCTGTAATGGACTTTAAAGTTCTGGATTATTCCGAGATCTAAAGGTTGCAGCTTGGACGTGCAGTTTACAGGAAAAAACACAAGTTTAATATTGGAATAGCGTCCCTTGAGATCATACGGGTGACATCCAGCAGAGTCAATGAATAAAAGTATTGATCGATTCTGGGCCTTGAAAGAGCTGTTTAACTGGCTG